ATGCATTAGCATAAATAGATCATGATGATGGTTTCTATATGAACGGTTTTCTCTAACATGCTAAAGTTATCATGATGAATAGATCATGATAAGTTTATCACGATAGCTTATGTGAACGTACCTATTATTTCCTATATCTAAAAGGGCCCTGAATATCAGCCGACCTTCTAGGATACTTGGAAGGGTCACCTTCTATAAACATGACAGAGCAGTGGATGGCAGGTACCAGTAGATAAATATATGTGGTAACAAGCTAAATCAGTCACTCGCAGCAAAAATCGATTTTTAGTTAATAATACATGTATAAACAGTAAAATGAAAGCTATAAAATGGTAAAAGAATCATTTAAATCTGACATAAAGTTACAGGAATTTGAACATACAGCTGTTTAAAGAACAATATTTGAGAAATTGGCCTTCAAAGTTTATGATTTCATGCATTTCTCAGGCAGAAACCATCAACAAACCGTTATAATTTGTTGTTTTAACATTGAAAATGGGGAAAATAACAGCATAGCATGATATATACAGTAGATATATAATGGATAGTTTAGTTTAATAAAATAGATTTTATTGAACTAAACTATCCATTATATATCTATATATAATGTATACTATCCATTATATATATCTATATATAATGGATAGTTTAGTTCAATAAAATAAATTTAAAAAATGTTGACATTCCAGCATGTTTTGGCCATTATATCTGAAACAGAATTTGCGACGAGTGACTGGTTTGGTTTGTCTTTGCCACATATATGTATGTGTAATTTGGAAAAAAATGCTTTATAAAAATCTTACCAATTTTTTGGCCATTTAGAAAGGTCCCATTAGAGCTTTGGTCTTCAATGAACACAGCATTTGACTTGTCCTAAGTAATATATACAATAAAAAAAATATTTGACAAGGCATAACAGAAACAAGAAAATCCAAAGGAGAGATACCAGCTGTTATGTGCCTCAAAACAGTAACATCTCTATCTATCTAAGTTTATCTATTTGAGGCTTCTCAAAACCAAGGTACTGTTGCTAATGTTAACTGAGTAATTAGCATAAGAATGTGCCAGTACTGTATACTTTAGGCTAGACTTTTTTATTCCTTGTTTCGCATACTTATTTTTTTTAAAAATCATCTGAGGAGGACAGAATAAAAATAAAAATAAAATTTTGTTTTCTTATTTAGCAAATAGTTTTGCTAAAACATCCAGATGGAGTAGAAAATAAAAATAAAATTTTATTGGTGAATGTAAAATGGGATGGGTAAATGCTTCAAATTTATATCATTCGGAAGAAAAATACATATCTTATCTTTGGAGATTTCAAGGCAACCGAGGGCGTAATAAAAAAAAGAAAAAAATTTATTTTTTTCTTAAATTTCCACTTTTTCATGGTGGCGGGTGTGCTAATTGTCCAAAAATAAAATTTTATTTTCATTTGAAATCATCAATATTTGCAGTCGGCGAAGGTAAAAAAAAAGTCTCACCTTAGTACAGAGAAGTTGTAGTACTTTTAATCATAATTTTGGGAATAGTAATTTAATTCCAGTAAATGACTTATTTTAAATAATGTGGAGCATATGAATAGTGTATATCTAAAAACTCAATTTTCTAGTTTTAGTAACTGATGCTTGTTTTGACATGGCAAGCAACATTTATTTATTATTTATTTATTTCAAAAAATGCATTCAACAACAATTTTATACCATCCTGATTAAGTCTATATAACTGATAGAATGAACATATGAAGTACAGTACTTCTGCTTTAAATATTAAAAGAAATTAAAGTAACAGTAGCAGATACACAATTTTGACTTTACATAAGAAATTTTGTTAAGTCTCTTTCCTTACTTTGGATATGTTAAAATGGATCTTGGAAACCGTTGCGAAGAAATTTAATTTCCGACATGCCTTTGTATCAAGGCAGATATCGCAGAGTTTATCACGCCCAACTGTGTATTTATCACCCGACAAGTCTAGTAAAAAATAAGCAAATTCACTTTTCAACTGAATGAAACAATATTAAGATTCTACTCTCAAGCAAAATATTATTGAAAAATTGCATCTGGCTTCAACAAATACTTACATAAGCACAACGAAACAAGTACGTCTTTGCAAAATATTGTTCAACAATTTTTTTTTTTAAATTAATCTTATTTTATCTATATACTTTACTTATCTAAAAAAATCTCTTATGAGATATCCAATTTCTGAATTAATACACTTTAACGATGGTCTGATGAAGAAACTTTGCTGCATTCAGGAATGGTTAAAAGGGCCTGACTATTATGTTTATTTTTCATTCTTATAGCACATTACTAGGAAAACCTTACTGTACATGAATACTCTGTTCAGGGCCAATTAAGAGCATCTCTGGGCCATGAGGCAGTGCAGCAAGTGGGCCCTAACAAAGGGTTTGGGTTCAACATATAGGCGCCAGTTGAACAAAACGGCAGGGCCTAGGCGGTAGCCAGTTTTAGATATAGCTCTATAGATGTCAAATTTAAATGATTATAGAGTGGTCATTCAAAATTTTTTACCTGCCTGTGACACGGCGATACAGCTTGAGTTTAGTATGCTTTAAATCTATTACATTATAAAATAGCGTAAACTACTTTCTATACTCACTAACTGCTGTAAACGCAGCTCCAAAAGGAAATAGTCGACCCCATATTTCTGGCTCTTCTTCTTCTTCCTCCTCCTGGTCACCATCCACGTCTCCACAGTCTACGATATCCTGAGTCGGAACCGTGTCTGCACTTGACATAGTCGCTCCTGTTGATGCAGAATTGTAGCTACTGGAGGTGTTTGGATCACCGCTACTCATACCGTATTCAAATTCTGACAAATTAACATCAATGATACTAATAGAGACAACAGACAAGACTGTTGTAACAAAATATGAAATTATATTTTTTTACTTTTACTTTGTACAGTATTTATTGATTGGTGTTTACAACTTCCCTGGGGGAGGGTAGGCCCCTAGGCCTATATTTTATATATTCATTAAAGCCCCATTCCCAGCAAAAATTACACTAAAAAAGATCTTTTTTATTTTTTTTAAAAAGCATATGCATTACTCTAATTGTTATAAACCATGGAAAAATTATTGGCATGAATTTTAGTTTTATGCAAAAGGATAAAACAAATGATAAATAGAGACTATTTCTTATAGGAGATTACCATTTTCTCAATGACTTCTTCGCTACTAGGCAAATTCAGAGGTTGTAAATCGCATATGCTGGAATGCTCTCGCTTTTATATCAGTGGTGGTGCCAGAGGGAGCTGGGGGCTTTGTTTTATTCAAAATATTTTGGTTTTGGAAGCTGATTTTAACATTAGAAAGCACAGCCTACATGAAGTCATACTAGAGTAACTCGATGCCTATCAAATAATTAATAAAAATTCGCCATAATTCATCAAATATCCGTGGATTTCAGGGGGCGAAGCCCCCTGGATCCCCACTGGGGGCCTAGGCGGCTCCTGGCTCCCACCCAAGTGAGACTCGATTCGCTCCACTAGCCTCTAGCAGTGTTGCTAGGCTAATGTTTCTGGCACCAACTATATTTCTTCAGACCTATCGCAAAATCAAACAAGAAATTCATCTGTATTTATTTTTTGTGTGGAACACAAAAAAAAAAATATTTCAGTCTGATTTTATATATCTTTTTTCATGACAGTTTAGGATGTCTAAATTCGGTTAAAGCCCCATTCCTGGCAAAATTCTGTTGTAAAAAAAAAATCTGAATTTTATATATGTTATAAAGATTTATAAATATAATACGAAATTGCTAACTATAATTTATGCGAATATTTTTTTTCATGGTTTATAATAATTAGAGTAATGCATATGCATTTTTTCTAAAAAAAAAAAAATCCTTTTTTTTAGTGAAATTTGCCGCAAAATGGGGCTATTACCTAGTAATTCCGTATATTACATTTATAAACCTATAGGGCCTAGGCCTATGCCACCCTAGGCTAGCCTAGCCTAGGGCCTAGCTAGGCCAAACATATAAAAATCAGATTTTTTAAATAACTAAAATTTTGCCGAGAATGGGGCTTTAAACTTGTTAAATCAGAATTTATATTTTTATTTATTAATACAAAAAGACATGTAGACAAGAAAAAACACCTCGAAAACTACTTTTAGATTGCAATGGACTGCACCCCACCACAAAACATAAACAAGGGACCTGGGCACGTGTCAATCATTCAAGAAGTGTCAATATACCTCTAGGCCTAGGCCTATGCAATATACTGACTGGCGGCCCTCGCTGGCTGGTTGTGTGTGGAGAGAGGTCTGGCCTAGCTAAGAAGAGTTAGCCCGGGATTGATACTGTGCCATATATATCATAAAATTATCATGCTTGTAGTAAAATAACCTTAAAAACAATTTAAACATATAAAATAATTCTAAAAAAGGAAAATATATACCTCTAAACTAAAAAAATATCGACACCAGCGTGCTTTCCACTATAGTCTGTCTGTCTCTATATATTTAGATTGTTCCATTGTTCTATAGGGTTACTTGATATATTAATTTTTATTAAAAGTTTACGTTTATTAGCAGTGAGATTATCACTGTAGTATTATATTCTAATTAGCTGGTTTATTTGGCACTGTAAATGCTTGTCTGACTTACTTAACAACTGAAAGTAAGTAATCCTGTTTTTCTTTTCCTACACTACGACTCTTTTTTTCATAATGAAATTTACCGAACACATGATATGACCCTTAGCCCTTTAGTTAACACTTGTTTTGAGGTCGTCCTGGCGGCGGCGGCAACACTGCATCTGCAACATACAACATGGAGATGTGAGTGCAGGCTTAGGCTAGGCCGATCACATTTTAAAATGCTAAGTCATACCATTAATACTTCCATGGTCATACTAACCAATAAATTGTATTTTTAAGGCAATGACTTTTTTTAGCTAGTAATCCTAGGCCAGGCTGGGCCGATCATTTCGGTCCCGGTTCGACGGGCCAATGGCTATAGGCCCTATCTCATCTAGTTAGGGCCTATGTCAGGCGGCTTTTCGTTCGGTTGCTGCATGCTCAACCTGAATGTTAACGAAGAAGGTCGATTTTTAGGCTCTTTACGTAACTAATAGATTTATTTCCATGTATGTATTTAAAATCTTAAATCGTATGCATGGTATGGTTAGGTAAACGAAAGTTTGCATGACAAACAAGACAGAATATTAATAATAATAAGTAAGGATGTTATTGTTACTGTTAGACTGACATTTAGGGCCTAATATTATTCATGGCTAGGCCTACCTAATTCATTGATCCATCCATACCTCCATGCTTTAACAATTAAAAAGTCATTAAAACAAGTTTTCTCACAACATAAAATATTAAAATTAAATGAAAGTTGTTTTTCTTTTTAATGAGCTTTGTTTGAATTAGATCTATGGACCTCCTTTTGCATAAAAACATTATTTTTTTTTCATGCCTAAATGTTTTATATGAATTCCTTTCTTTTTTGCTAGAATTGATGAAAATTCTGCAATGCTTAGCAATTATGAAGTAAGTATAGACAACAAGAAAGCCAGACTGTATAGTAAGGCAAGCGTGGGGAATATATAACCAGTGCAATTATGCAGCAATTACAATTCCGTGCACCTATTTTCTTAACAATTTCCCGCGCATATTTGAGCTGACTTTTTAGATAGATATCAATTAAAAAATTTTACAGCATGGCGGGAAGGTCCCTGGGTCTTGGGTTCAATTTATGTACTGGTACTAGGATTTTTTCTCACGACCAGAACAACTTCACTCAATAAGCCTCATAAAGAGACTATGTGGCACATCTTGTATGTATGTTGTCTTAGAAAAGTGATTATGCAAGTTCACTCTTTGGCATATCCTTGGCCTTGTGCCTAAAAAAACCTCAAAGCTAGCATTTAGACCATTATAATGTAATAGGCATTTCAAAAGTGTGCTATATTTTTTTTTTAAAAAGTGCATGTATTTAACAGGTCTTAACACTCTTAAAAGATCTTCAGTCGCAATCAGATGGTAAACGAAAAGGGACTAAGATGCATCAGAACCTGGCAACAGTATCGTACGAGGTAAGTTGGGTAGTACAGTATTTTGGATTTTCTTTTTCGTGTGAAACACCAAGGATATCGCACAGTTCAGTGCACACACAATGGCTACCACCAATATAGCCCACTGAGCTAAGCTATGATTTAACAAATTTAAAACTTATTATTTAAAATTGTAAATATTTATAGTATATATTTTATCACTTTTGCCTTCATTAATTTTAGACTATGAAGTATCTAGAGAAAACACCTTGTAAAGAGCAAACTCCAGAAATAATCAAGAATTTCTTACTGGCTTTGGAGCCATACAAATTGACAAAGTAAGAGCATCTCTATTCTTATTATTTATTATTCTTAATATACTGTATCCAAGGAAGTCAAACACCATGGTTGAGGCTGAGATTAAAAATACAGTATGACACCTAGCTAAGATATGCTGGAAATGACAGTTGGAATGCAATATTTGTTTAAAATATAATTCAAAATTTACTGTAGGGTTAGGGAAGATGGGAGAATCTGTGGTTCAGAGAGTAAATTACGTTATCTATGTTCTAGATTTTAGAGAAGTATTTTCCTTTCATTCAGGCAGCATTCCAAGGCTTCTATACAATTGTTGAACAATTGTTGATTATTCACAATAACAAGTAATATACTTAATGTAAGACGCACCTCATTTTTAATTACCTCGTTTTTAATTGGCTAGTTATAACTTTGATTTTAATCTGATTGGTCGGTTTTATTTGCTTTCTGTTATATAAACTTTATGATGCGACTGTTTATTTTGCAGGGCAGAAAAGTTACAGCTTCTGAATCAAAGACCAACATCAGCAGTGGAAATTCAATTGGTAAATAATTATTTCAATTAAGTTACATTGGATGCAAGGGCATAGATCTGTTTTGAAATGTGGTGGGACAGTTGTGAATGCACACCCAGGTGGGTGGGAAAATTTGAGGAAATATTACTGTAGATGGCCGGAAATCACTCTCTTATATATTAAAATTCATCATCATGTACTCAGCCTGTTCCCCACCCAATGATTGGATGAAACACCCTTTTTGTTTTGAAAACCAGCTTATTTTCAATATCAACAAGATAAATTAGTATCTTGTCCCTCCCCACTACCTTTTATTCCTTGCACATGGTAACGTTGTTCATCTGTCGATCCATTTTCGACAATGCCCAAAACTACTTCCAATAACATACTTTGTACATGCAACTACCACTTAATAAATATTTCTCACCTCTCCTAATACATTTGTCAGTCAATGATGCTCTGTCTACACTATCAAATATATGTGATATGCCCATATTTGGATGTAATATGACATCATCATGCCCATATATGGGCACATCACACAAATTTGTCACATAAAATTTTATATTTTCTGCTCTGTAGATGATTGAGGAGAGTGAGGAAAGATTAACTGAAGATCAAATTGAGGAGTTGCTCCAGTTGATAAGTACTCATTTGTTGATAGAAGAAACGGAAGAAATGGATGCACAGGCAGGAGATGGGCAATGATAGGACAATGGCAGTGTGATAAATTACGAATGTTGGTCACATTTCCGGATTTTACAGCCTACTGCAACATTCAGTGCAGAACCTTAAATGTATACGAAGTAGTAAAGGTTCTTAACTACTGTAGTTTCAGTCTTCAAATGTGCAGATAGCTCAGAGATCAACTACTGGAAGTGTTAAGCCAGGCATACACTGTATTACCTGACCACCGGCTAATGAAGCAATCTCCGCTTCAAGTGCCCAACAACGTGATGGGATGTCATACTGCTTTCTCCATTGAACATACGTGGAGGCACATAAGCAGAGTGAAAAACCAAGGCTGGGGTCCGTTTGGGGAGACTAAACAACAACTATTTTTGGCAAATTATTGGTGGGGCCTACAAAAGGTTTGGCCTGCCCTGTGCCCCTACCAGTGCTATGGAAATGTGTCAGCTGACAACCGCCTACTTTAAGCCTTCAAACAAGCAAGTGCAATTCATGAAATGAAATGAAACAATTACAAAATCATTGTAGCATACATACGACTTTTATTTTCAAATATTCCCGAAGAAAGCTGTGTTTCTATCATTAATTTCAGATATCACATATGTTATTCACTGCACAGCAGCTCTATCTTTATGTAATTTTGTAGTGTGATAAAACCAATAACATTTCAACTACTCCAGTTCTTAAAATTGGTTTATATTCTATTTTATTCAAACACTGCACAATTCGGATGGAAAGCAATTACACATCATTCATCAATTAATTCAGTACTGTATTAATTACTATCAATAATAATTAAAATACTTTCAGTTTGTTGAAGTGATGTTTCCTGAGTTTGACCATTTCAATCAATGTCATTCTTATGATTTATTTGTGGAGACACCATGTTAACAACTGTTATTTACCTACAAGAAAAAAAAGAGATACATTTATGAACAATGCATTTACAATTAGGTGTACTGTACAATGTGATATATGTCTATGTTGAGGGAATATAAAATACACGTATATCAGAATTGTCTTAGTATTATAGAATTAATGACTGTATTCAAAGATCAAAATTTATTAATAATACTATGTATATTGACAAAAAAAGGCAAGTTCTAGGTAAAGAATCACAAACCAATAATAACACACATATAGCTATTATAGCTATATGCTATAAAATATAAAAATAAAATTAGGAAATATTAAGAAAATATAAAAATAAAATTAGGAAAATAAAAGATAATTTGATATATATAATATATATCAAATTATCTTTTATTTTCCTAATTTTATTTTTTGATACGGTACCACCAGTGGTGTATCTAGGGTGTGCACTCCCCTCCAAAAATTCCTCGCGCCCTCCCAGTCTCCCCATCCCCAAAAAAATCACTTGCAAGTACAGTAGAACCTCGATTTTACGTACGGTACGGGACCAGAAGGCGTACGTAAATCGGGGGATTCGTAAAATAGAGGTTGGGTTAAATTTGTGGTAACCTTTGACCTAATACGTACGTAATGCTCAATATACGTATGTATGAACGAATGATGTCACCTAGCTAGGCTAGACCAAGCCTCTAGGCCTACGAATAAAACCATGTGTTTAGTGTTTTTATTCATCACTTTACGATGTCATAATAAAGTGTTCAAATAAAACCGTGTGTCTAGTGTATTAATTCATCACTTATATCTTTTATTTAATTAAAGAACATGAAAATATTGTAAGATTACCTATACGACAAAGGTATAACTTGGGAATTCCCCTTAATGCCTATTTTAAACAACAGAGCTGTGGTGTTGTCTGGGCCTGTTGAGACAAACTAAATCCATGTGCGCTGCACTGGGCAAGCCAACCAATTAACATTCGTGTACGAAACTATGCCTACTCAGCTTCGTGTAGAAAATTCCACACGAAGCTAAGGAGGAAAGCAATTATTTTGAGCACCATCGGTAGTTGTTCATCTCTCTCAGTTCACGTGGTTTCACGTTGTTAGATTATAACAACCCGGTATTAGACTCAATCAATGTTGCTGTTTAATGAAAATACGTTGCATTATGGTTTGTTTATTGTTATAGTCTTTTTACTTATGGTTGCTATGAAAAGGGCCGTTTTTTAAAAATATTTTCGGGGTTTTTGATGATGTCATCGTCGATACGAGGCGTACGTAAAACCGAGGGTTCGTATAACTGGGGTACGTAAAAACGAGGTTCTACTGTAACTATGTCTACTCAGGTTCGTGTAGAAAATTCGACCAGACGAGTTTTTCCATGGTTTGCCACACGAAGCTAAGGAGGAAAGCAATTATTTTGAGCACCATCGGTAGTTGTTCATCCAGATTATAACAACCCGGTATTAGACTCAATCAACATCGCTGTTTAATGAAAATACGTTGCATTATGGTTTGTTTATTGTTAAAGTTTATTGTTATAGTCTTTTTACTTATGGTTGCTCTGAAAAGGGCCGTTTTTTAAAAATATTTTCGGGGTTTTTGATGATGTCATCGTCGATACGAGGCGTACGTAAAACCGAGGGTTCGTATAACTGGGGTACGTAAAAACGAGGCTCTACTGTAGTTAAAAAGCACGTAAAATCACCTTATTTTGCGAGCTAGCACCCCTCAACTGATCATCGAGGCTCCCCCCCCCCACTTCACCTTCATGCCCTCCCATCAGCACCCCCATTTCAAGACTTCTAGATATGCCACTGGTACCACAAGACTCTACTTGTGACAATGCTTCATATCATCTCCCAAGGGAGCATTCAGCATAATGTAACAGCTAGTGATCAGCACAATGGTACTAGAACCAGATGTTTTACTGCTGTACCACATAATTCCAACACAATGTACGTATACAGTACATTTACATTTTCAACATGCATTAATGACACCAATGATGATAAAAAAATAAGTAAAAATGCCACACTTTCAAAATCAACATACCGAAAGATAGTTTGCATTGTCTCAAGGCCTCATTGAATCCATCACATAGTGAGAGGTCATGTTGAGTTTCTGCACAATGAAGGAACTGCTGGAGTTCGTAGCTGCATGCACCATTTTGTTGGTTCTGTTGTTGCACAGGTTGGTATTGCTGCATGGGCTGTTGCTCTTGATAGGTAACATCGGGCTGAGAGTTTCCCCCTCCTCCAGTCATGGCTGCTCCAACAGCATGTCCCTTTATAAAATAATAGACTCATTGTCAACAACAAAGCATTGCCATGGTTGAACAAGAATTCAAAATAGAAAGGGCCCAGAGTGAAAATTCTACAAAAAGGAGGGTTCAGACCAAGCATGGTTAGGACTAACTATAACTTGAGGTCGGGGTTTCAATCCCCTGTGAATTTTGCTTGTGTCCTTGAGCAAGGCACTTTATCTGCATAACTGCTTCTCTCCCCAGCCAGAAGTATAAATGGGTACCTGGTGGGGTTTTATAGCCTCAGGGAAGCGGCACATTTTAAATGCCCACACCAGTACCATAGTGCCAAATCAATAAAGATCATTATTTTATCAACTTGCTATTATTATCTATTGTTACACTATCATTGTCTTATATTACTGTACTGTACTGTATATTTTAATAAAAGTGAATTGAATTTAATCTGCATCATTAAAACACAAAACATTACAAACATCAAACATTAAAAACATCAATTTAGCAATTTACATCGAGATAGATAAAAAGGCACGAAGCCAGAAGTTTAAAATAATAAAATATAATCATTAGTAAAAAATCATTTTTCTTATACACCTTTCGAACAGAATGATGGGAATGCCTAGACAACCCATTAAAATCCAAGAGGACCTATTTCCAATGGGGTTGGGTCTAAAAAACCATCACCTAATGGAAGAATATATATAAAAAAGGTCATAAAAAGTATAAAAAAAATGAAAATTGACAAAAAGTTAAAACATCAAAAGCTATAAGTACAAAACCTGGGCATTTTCTTTATCGAAGGCTTTTGCTTTGTTTAAGGTATTCTTTAAATTTAAATCATATGACATATATACAGGTATTATTATTATTTATCAACTTGCTATTATTATTATTATCTAGTATTAATATTATTTAAGCCATATGACTCATATAATGCATTTTTTAAAAAACAAATGCAAAGGAAATCAAGGCAAACTCCTTCATAATAGGAAGACCTACCACGGCAGATCCAATGGCCACACCACCAGCTGTAGCGGCCATCTGGCCAAATAGTCCTGGGCTACGTGATTGACCAGGGGTCCCTACCATAGATGGTTGCTGCTGTACTGGCACTGGGGATCTCTGTTGAGGACGTGGAGCTGTAACTGTCCTTGGTGGTGCTGATAGTCTATGGAGAAATATTAAAAAGTCATTATCATTTTCACTACAAATTATATAAAAAGTCCGTATTTTTTTAAAAGCCATAGGCCTAGGTTATTGTTATTTATGACATGCATGGCATGTTTTATTAAGTATAAATGTATATACCAACTTTGTCAAGTGATGCTTTTTATTTTCAATTTAAAGCTTGTAATTTTTATGCGCAATCATAAAATTGACTAGGATAGTACATGTTTTTTGCAATAGGCCTACAGTTTTATGGTTTTTCTTTTAATTCTACATACAGGAACAGGCATTGAAATGAATGAACCACACTGACTGATGTTGGCGCATCGGTTGTGGCTTGGACTCTCAACCTCGAGGTCGGGGGTTCGAAACTCTCGCTGTGCAAATCGCTTGTGTCCTACTTTATCTATGGTTGCCCCTCTCCACCCAGGAGTACAAGTGGGTACCTGGTAGGTTCCAACACTGCGCCGATTACTAGCCGCAATATTATGGAGATATAATTTAATTTAATAATTTCATTTAGTGTTTAATGTGTTCCATATGTGTTTGATCCAATGACCGGGGTAATAATGTGAAGCGCTTAGAGGCTTTGTTAAGGCATTAAGCGCTATAAGAACGACATATTATTATTATTATACAAAATGTGTTCAGTTCCATACATCGTGTCTGACACTCTGAAACTTTAGGTTGCTGTAGGGCCAGGCTTAGCTTATTTTTATTAGTATTTACTACTAGGGCTTAGGCTACTTTAATAAACTTTGGCCTAGTGTATCCTAATTTTAAAGCGGTGTCGGGTGGAAAACAGACCGGCCTTGCCAGTCATGCAGACGACCGGTGTGTCAGACTTGGTTTGTTGGTGCGCATACTTACGCCAGGCCTAGCTTTGTTTAATTGAAACCCTTGCTATCTATTACATCAGGTAATTAATTACGTTTCTAGATACCAATAACTACTAGTACAATCATGATAATTACCTAACGGGTGAGGCAGATCTGCCACGACTTCTTCCTCCACGGGGCATTTTGTTAGATAAATTCAATAGGTAATTCTAGGCCTAGGCTATTTGATTATTATGATGGTATACGACGATGTCGTCATGCATCAGCGTATTATGTCCCTGACGATTTCCAGAGGCGAGTTGCATCACATGTCACGCTTGGGTAAAACACTGCCACCATGCGTTTGATGATGATGATGGTAATCTAGAATATTATCATCTTCAATTCATTTCATTTATTCAGGAATTACAATCACATATAACTTGAATACAAAATAAAAACAAAGAACAGATAAATGATTAAGAAAAAAAAGATAAGACATTAATTCTTAGGGTAACTCAAAATAGTTTTAAAATTTAAAAAACTTATTTCCATTGGACCTTAGTTTAACAAATTTTAAACAGTTTTTACCACGTAAGGCCTAATGAACATAAAACAATTAATAATAACTACATGTAGGCCTGTCATTAAAATCGTCATTATAAGAAGTTTGATTTATGGGAAAGTCTGCAGAGGGCGATTTTGACTGGTTTCCCCGACGTGCGGCAGTTGAGCCGCCTCTTGTAAATCATGTAGGCCTACCGGTAGGCCCGGATTGTGACTGTTTTGATTAAGTCATGAAGTTTTATTAAATTTTCTGAAGAGGGACTTGGGTCGACTATCATACAGATTATCGTTGATTTTATTTTATTTTATTTTTTAATTTAAACCAACAGCGAACAACCACTAACAGATTGAATCAAAACGTGATAAAATAATATATGTGAAAATTAATGTTAAAAGTTAAAAAAACCCCCCAAAACACATACTGTACATATGTTTAACAATTTTACTTTTAAAAACATTTAAACTATCATAAATGAGATCGAACTCACAAGCAGTGGCGGCTCTAGGATATATTTTCTGGGGGGGACTAAGTAGTCCGACAGGGGGGACTTGAGCTCGTAGGCTCGAGCTGGAGGAAAGGGTTGAGAGGGGGTACCCCTCCCAAATAAGATTTTTTTTGAAAGAATATCAACCTCTGATGGCCGAAAATGGCACTCTCAGATTGTGACAGACATGTGTTGGCTTGGTGTGGGCCTATTTTTATGTTTTATGGTCTGACTGCCCGACGAGCTCTGTCCGGCCTGTCTGACTTGTCCGGTGGGGGGACTTAAGCCCCCCTGCTGGCGCCGCCACTGCTCACAAGTAACAAGTAGACTAAATTCGTTGGGCAACCGCTGAAAATGCCTCGTTTTGTGCCATCAACACGACCGTATGGAACGTGGAGCAAACACTAGGATGCGAATTGCATTAAACAAAGAAGCAAGAGGACAATCACAAACAGAATTCAACAACACAAAAATATCATGTCAAAAACATTCTACGATTTTCAAGAGACAATATTGGGTTGGGACAAGTGTGACTAAGAAGTTAATAATATTGATGAGGTATAAGAGGCAAACGTACTAAAACAATGGAGTTGTTGTGGATAGTCATTATGCCTACACATAACTCAATGCGAACCATTTATAGGCCTACAAGAACGTAATTCATCTGCACGATGATGATGATGATGATGATGATGATGCAGCCCACACTCCTCTGGTCCCTTTTGCGCCACTATTGCAAAATTTGTTGATGAAAATTTGAAGTCAATAGAATGTAAAGCGACAAAAAAAGTACACAGAAAGATAAAAAAAAAAAATAGTTCCATAATTTTTATGGCGATTCACTTAAAAAAAAAGGAGGAGTTAATTTTTCGTTTACAGAAAGAATCACCCGATTTATTATTATAACAGGATTTTTCCGAAAAATGCTGCCTATGAAATCAGTCTGAGAAAGTTTAATTATAGAAGGTTATCAGTTTAGTCTGAAGGAAAATGTGAGCGGCACTGGGTTATATGTTAAAAATGGTATTCCGGTAACAGAGGCTTTAATGGTTTTAAGGAGTCAGTATGGGTAGTTATTGGCTTACCGCTCGACAAAAATTACTTGTTGGCTGTGTCTATCGCAGTCCTAGTAGTTTAAGGGAGAATAATATTTTGTTACTGAAACAGGTGAATGAATATTTGGCCGATTTTCTTTTAATTACTGGTGATTTCAATTATAAGAATATTGATTGGTTATAATGAAATTTTACTGAGATTTGGATATAGCTGAATTTTTTTTAGTGCATTACGGAGGATTTTTTGTTTGTTTTGGTATCAACACTTCGTGCCTATGCATTTTCGAGGGAGAGGCGAACCGAATGTATTAGATTAAATTTTTACACGAGACGAATGCTTGGTAGACGCCATAGGCCTAGTACATGGTTCTCCCTTAGGAAAAAGAGATCATCTGTATTTTCATTTAAGATATCCAACGATTGAGACCCCTTCGCGAACTAGAAATGTTTACGAAGCTCATTAGGCCTGTAATAAAATGAGAGATTGTTTAATAATAATGCGGACTTGGTTAGAAATAAGATTATTCATTTTGGATACAAAAAAACAGAACTTTAAGTAGTTCATTGGTGAAGGCTTGGGCTGGAAGCTGTAGGCGAAATGAAAGATCTTGGCCTTTGTTTTTAATAAGTTGAATTTCCGGTCTCGCGTTTCACATGTAATTTCTATGGCAAATAAGAAATTGGAAATTATTCATCGTTCATTTAAACATTTGGATTCAGATAGCTTTTTGTTACTATACAAGTCAGTTATTCGTCCATCATTGGAATATTGTAATATTCTTTGGGTTCCTAAATTTCTTAAAGATTAAGATAGAAATTACAGCAAAAATCTGCTCGATTTATTCCGGAGTTGAGAATGAGAATAGGTTAACTAAAAACTAAACCTTCCAACTCTCATCTGTTATTAAACCAGGTTTAAAAATTTTTTTTTAATGGTTTTGGTAAGTTGGGAGTTAGTACGTTCTTTAAATCGTCGTCAGCTGCATTTACTAGGGACATTCACTAAACCCCCTTTCTCTTGGCGTTTATCGATTCATGGAATCGTTTTTATGAGGGGGAAACCTTGAATTTTGAAGAACTTAAAAGTCATCAAAAAACACCTCAGAAGTTGGGAAAGCTTTTTTTCCGGCATAAGAATCAAAATTTTCCCGGGGAAAAGCCCACAGACCACCTTTCTCTTTGGGATTTATCGATTCATGGGGAAAAGAATACGTATGCAACTACTCCAATTTTTCATGCATGTATACACACATAAATAGGCCTATTTATTTATTTATTTAAAATGAGAAAGTTTACCTGACCGTTTTCAAGAGGGGGAACCTTGAATTTTGAAGTCATCAGGCCTAAACATCAGAAGTCGGGAAAGCTCATTTCCCGCCATTCTGAAATCAAAATTTTCACGGTTGAGGACCCCTTCCGTTTTGGTTTTTTTTTTTTTAAACATTCCCCCCCCCCCATCATTTCTGTTCACTATAAGACAATATAAATATGTACAGTATGTTATGATGGAGCTGGTTGTCTATGGAGATATGCTATATGCTACAGGACCTACTGAAATGTCGAAGGTCAGAAATGTCATTTCCGATCTCTTTGGAAAAAAACAAGTTGCATAGTAGTATACAGCAAGTTCTGAACAAATTGAAGTGAATGGTTATGGAGATAGGTCAGAAATGTTATTTTCCGTCACTTTTGGACAAAATGTTGCATTAGTCCAAATAGAAATATGTATGTTCCGAACAATATGCCAAGATATATGGATCCGGTCTTTTAGTAGATTCAAAATGGCTGCCACAGCAGACGTCAGAATTTTTTTTTTAAATCTACAGTTTCATGCTTTGGTAATAAAATGCACAACTGGGTCCTTTAGCTGTTCTGCTATTTTCATTTCATCACTAAAATATAATTCCAAACTTTATCAAAAATATGTCTCAGATATGTAAACTAAATATATTGAAAAAAACAAAAATACACTAAACATATTAGCATCAGGCATAACATTTTTAATGTTACAAAAATACACTAAATATATCAACACTCGGCATACAAAAATATACTAAACATTAAATTCTCATAAAATGCCAGGGAGGTATATAGTAAGAAATTTGCATATAATAATAAACATCACTTTGAAAAAAAAAATCTTGCGGACCTAAATTGCAACAATTTCGTAAGTTACAAATATAGAAACAGATACAAGATAATTTATGCTGAGTTGAATAATAAAAGGGAGATTGTATGAGTTAAAATTCCAGTCTACAGCAAAGAATTGTGATTGAGGTATTTGATTACTTTTTCCTTTATTATTGGTCTTTGATTAGATTTATAGATTATTGTTACTATTGGTTTTATTTTGAATTGAATTATGGGTTTATTCAATGTCCAATCACAAATCAATCAATATCAGTTACCAATAAAAAATCAAAATATGAGGCTTACCATGCCCAACATTAGTAACCAAAAAATGAAAATTTACTTTTTAATATGCTTCTCCACATTGTAAGATTTAAAATGAAGGGTCATTTACTGGATGTTAATCTGATGCTATAGTTCATTTCAGCCGCGCCCCTATCATTCTGGAATGATGTGGACACGAAACAACCATAAGCACCTCTTTACCGCAGATAGGTAGTCACATGTGATCACAAATAAATCAATATGTCAGTATTGGTAAATAGTCAAGCATATCTCAAATCAATATTATTGATCACAGATGGAGCAATATCAATCAATATTGGTAAATAGTCAAGCATATATCAATTCAATATTACTGATCATAAATGAAAAAAATATCAGTACATTTAGGTCAGGCATATCTGAAATCAATATTGATCATACGTCAATGAATACCAGTTAATATTGACCAATATCCAACATCTCATAATGACCACAAACGAACAAATATTTACGTCAATACAAGTAAATAGTCAAGCATATTTTAAACCAATGATCACAGAACAATGAATGTCAGTTAACATCAACCAACAGCCAATACCGTCATATCAATGTCAATCAATAGCAAAGGCCAACAAGAACATGAACATTATCATTACATAAAATATTAGTAAGCATAAATTTAAATATGAATGACATGTGTGCACATACTATTTTATAGTATTGCATACAAATAACTATTCAACCACATTCTCTGAAAATTAAATATGAGTAAAGTATAATTTATCTACAACATACACATTAGAATACACTTAGAATACACATAAACACAGTTTCTTTAAATACTTTTTAGACTGTTTCTAATTTTTTATAAATGAAAAACCATGAAAATATAATAAATACAAACACCATCAAACTGGTTTAATGACATTCTCAGACAAACAAAATGTTCTAAATTCTACATACAGTACCAGCATACCTATCTAATAATGTTAATTTAGCACAAGCACACCATCACGTTAACCACAATAACAATATGACCTACCTAATCTTATCAAAGCTGGTTTAAAAGTGTGTGACATTATCAACCTCTAAAAATATAATTCACCTTAAGTATAGTTAAATATATATGTATCTTAATTCTTATACCATTTGTAGTTTTAATGAGTTAGAGCACTAGTTGTGTAGTTTGGATACTTTCTTTTCTATCCTAGTGACAGGATTTTTCCTTACAAAATCAACTCCATTCTCTAAGCCTCATGATGAGACAGTTTAAATTCCACAATATTTCTCTTTTTTTGAGGATTCATCTCAAAAAAGGCTAAAAGGCACTCAAGGTTAATTGGAGAAATAAATTGTATTTATTTTTTATTTAAAGAATACATCAAATGATCATAGTGAATTCCACAGTGAAATACAGCATGAAAAATCTTTGTGTATAATACATTTGTGAAAGTTCACTACTGAAAAATACCAAATTTGGGTGATTCTAGGAAAAAATACAAATGACAAATCTCAGATATACCGAGCTGCTGCAGTTTAGGGCCGCCTTTAAGCAAAATGCCATCAACACGTTTGAGTGTTCTATTACAAATAAGCGTTTTTCAATGTTATATTAATATACATAATATACCATAGTATCTAGTAGAAGTAGATTATGTGTAAAGTATTTGAGGGTTTCCTAGACTTACCTCATACATACACAGACATTATTATCCACTGTTGAAAGTTGGGTATACAGTGCATCCTCCAATTTCAGACTCCTACAATTCCAGACCCCTACAATTCCGAGACTATTTTAATTCGAGACCACTTTTTTGAACCAAACAACAATCTTTAATATTTCAACACAAAGCTAACCCTCTAATTGGAGACAAAACCTCAAGACCACCCCAAATTTCCGGTCTCAAAGGTGGTCTCGAATTGGAGGGTGAACTATAATTACAAAACGTGAAAATTGTATTCTAAAGCAGCAACCAATTTCGAAAATGGTGAATATTTACTCATTTATTTATATTATGATGAAACATAGAATTAGGCGAACAATATAGATTTGAATAATTGTATTTACTAAAAAATGAAGGGTTCTGAAAGGCCGTCTAGGTTCATTCCTTAGACTATCACAAGGTACACGATAACCAGGACAGACTGAGGGGACTACCACAAGGTAGGCTTACGCCATTATCAGGACAGACTAAGTGGACTATCACAAGGTACGGCATAAACAGGACAGATTGAGGACTATCGCAAGGTATGCCATAACTAGGACAGACTGAGGGACTACTGCAAGTTACCAGGAAGCACTGGGGGGGGGGGGACTGAATATGTTGTCCTCCCCACACCCCATTTGAAAAATTCTGACCAGGACAGACAACTATTTCAAGGTACGCCATTACCAGGACAGACCGAGGGGATCATACATTCTACTTACTGTCATCAGCTTACTTCATTGCAATGAATTTGAAATCTAAAATGTTACACAAAGTAAATGTTTTTGGAATGTCGATTAAGATCTAGCCAACAAGGACTCATGGACATCCCTAGAAGCACATCATCATTCAATTAACCAAATCTGTCAATTTCCACCTCTGTAATATTGCTCTTATTAGAAAATATCTGTCCACATAACTATACAATTATACATGCCTTCATAACATCTCACTTAGACTACTAGTGTTTCTCTCGTTTTGGCCTTCCCAAAAATTCCATTAACCATCTTCAACTATTACAAAATACTGCTGCAGGAACCATAACTTTCACAAATACTCACACATCACAACCATCATACATAATCTTGATTGGCACAAAATCTATAACTGGATAAATTACAAGATTCTCCTCCTGACTTTCAAAGCTCAAACTTTGCACAACTATCCTACCTTCTTTACTTCCTTCTCAAATATATCCCTTCTCGTTAACTTTGATCCTCTCACCATGCCTTTTATCTATTCCACAAACCAACTTTAAAACTATCGGCAACAGATCTTTCGCTTTTGCAGCTACAGTACTACTCTACTCTCTGAAGCTCTCTCTGTGGTATTAGAAATAAGTTTTTCCTGTTGCACAAGAATTTAAAGAATATTATTTTGCCTATCCAATTGTGGTCAAAAAGCACAATTTGTACCACCTTAAACCTAAAAATCAATTTCCGAAAATTGGGCTTTGACCCATTAACGTTCAACAGAAACTTCACTCCCAAATCCTTACTTTTTGGTTTTGACCAGATACAACTTGTTGCCACTCCCCCCCCCCCCCCCCACCTCCTTCAGTGTCTTATTTGGAGCCATCGATCAAAGTGTCCCATAGATTCACCATATACCCATCTCACTTCTCAAAAATCACACTTTAAAGTTTCTTTAACAGTCATAGTCAAGTATCTCCTCCATTAATGCTGGTATCTCAATGTCTGACCATTCCAAGCGGAATCTCTTTGTGCTCCGATTAAACAGCACAGAGAGTGTCCTGACATTCGTGACCTGCATGAGGACCTTTGCAAACAGCTGCCGGTTCTTCCAGTCACGTCGAGTTACTTCTCGCATTAAGCAATCCAAGTATTTGCACTGTAGCTGTTCAACCTTCTCAACACTGCACAGACCATTTCGATCTGAAGAAGACAACAATTGTTAATAAAATTAACTATACATTCTTACTCTTACAAGCAGCTTGTATGGAAGCTTCAAGCTATCTTCTGAGTTTCCATAAAAAATTATTTTGGAAACATGTAATAAAGCTGTGAAAACATTAAAGATAATTTACGGTACAAATATTTTAACATTGCTATATTTTTCTTTCCATAATATCTGTATACAGGTATATCATTGTGCTGTTTTAAAATTTCATACACATTAGATTTTATCAAATATGAATTGTAGGTTGATCAGTAAGGGTTCTGGTTTCCCTAGTCATTTTGTGTATTCAGAGGCATAGGCTGGTATCGGCATGGGGGGAGGGGTGTAAAAATTGAGAATGCAGAACTAAATCAATGAAAACTTAATGGTCATATTTTGTATCTTAACCCACTTAGTGGAACAAATTTGCCACCATGTGGGCGGGGGTTTGAGGTGTCACCCTCCCCAGCCTACGCCCATGGTATTACGAACCTGGACTCAGCAACACAACAGCAGTCAGCAGAGCAATCTCACTGTTGATCAGTTTCAATTTATTGAAACAGCTGACAAAGATGTGCACATGCTCCCAAAATGAATCATTGTAACCAAGGTAGGAAAGCTGTGAGCGGGAAAATATCTGCTGAGATCCAAATGACATGTTGTCATCATCCACATACAGCTTACCGCTTACACGCATCGTCCAGATCTCAAAGAAACCGCCCTTCAGCAGCGTCATCTGGTCTTCCTAAAATTCAAACGGAAAGCAGCTCAATGATTTTAGATCGGTATCACTGGGAGCAGTTTTGTTTCAGTGTTTCAACCTCAAGACTGGTGGTTTGAACATTTCGCTGTGCATTTCGCTTGTGTCCTTGGACAAGGCGCTTTATCTATTGTATGTCTTTCTCCGCCCTGGTTGAAATATTCTGGGGAGGATAAAAAGGCTGCAGAGAAAGGGACAGGCCACCCTACCACACAATGGGCCAACAACTCATTCTGCAATGTTCAATAATGAATATGGGACTACCTTATCACTAGGGAGAGGAATTGTGATTTGAAGCGATTTTACTACCATTCTTTTTTTTAACTTTCATTGCTTGTTCATTGCATTTGTTGCCTTTTTAATTTTTATATAAATAATTCAAATGGAATTTACTTACCTGACACAATGAACAAAACCCTGGTAAGTTCTTGCTAAACTGGACAATATTAATGACAGAGGGCGCTAGAACATCTGACAGAAATGTTTTAACTGAGCAGGTCTGGCCGTAGAAATGGCACAGGGTTCTGCTTTCCAAATGCTCTTCCTCATTATTTGAGAAGAAGCCAAAGTCCATCTCAAAACTATTAACTGTTGTGTTATAAGTAGATTGCATCAACTTGTACTGTTTATAGAAGGTAGATAGAAAAAATACTGAAACTGTTATGCAAAAAATTGTGTTCATTTGCAAAATGATAAAATGAATATAAAATGAAATATTTAAAAAATAAAATACAGTACAAGAAAATCGTCTTCAGTTGCAGAAAATAAATGAAAATTAAAAAGCAATTAATTACAACTCACCAATGATTATTAAACCATATTAAAAACTAAACAGCACAAAACAGCATTTATCAAGAAAATGTTATTGACAAGACAACTTTTACATCTGAACATTGAATTAAAAAATGGGTATAATTTACTGCCATGTAAATATCTAATTAGATATACATGTGCCTATATCCCTGATGCTTGAAAATACTGTAAAATGTTTTCATGCACACTATAATGAAGGTATAACAACATAACAGCATAAAAGGCATTATGTGTGTGGTTATGTAAATTTTAGCAATGTTGACACAAATAATGGTATAAATGAGAAATAATTTCAGCCTTTGTAAAAAACTTACCAAAGTAGACCAAGAGGAAGGGCCAAGTTCCATGACGTGAAAGCGAGGTGACGCAGCGAAATTAAGGATACACTTAAGCTTTGGAGTGGTCTGAAACCTTTCAAAGCCAAGTTCTCCATGGATTAGACATAATGCTCTAGTAAATTACCTTGACTTCTGGCAGGATGTTCTGTTGGTCCTGTGCACATACTGGCTATTGCACACGAAAAAAGAACTTGGTACATTATGAGGATTAAGATAGAATTATCTCCCGGTGTACTGAGAAATTCGCTGTCATGTCCGTACTGTAATGTTTAGTCTTTGAAACAAGTTGTACGCATCCTGAAAATTCTTCAATGTACATATTGTACATAAAAGTAAAATTTTGTATACAGGCCTATTAACGCAGCTGTCATTAAGATCTGATTTATGATTTAAATATAAATTAATTTATTACTTGTAGGCATACAAAATCATAATAGACCAGACCTATCCTTTTTTTGACTCTCAGGTTCATTCTTTCAATAGTAATTTAAATATATATAACCGACAAAAATAATGCTTGATAAATGGCTCTAATATTTTTTAAAATGTTCAAAATGTTCTGTATTGTGCTGAGTGTTCAGTGTTCTCTGTGTATGGATCATTATGGTTAACATCAACATCATCACCATGGAGATGTTTTCACAGTGTTTGTCTTACCACAGAGGAAAGTAAGCTTACATTCCTCCACGGTCTTATGCACATTGCTTTTATTTCAATCTGTCTTGTAGCACTGTTCTTGATGAGCAATGGTGTCGAATCGATGCACATGTTTTTGCTGCATGATGTATATTCAAGGTTGCGAAGGCTTGGAAGAACAGAATTTATACAGGGTACCAATGCAATTGTACAAAACATGAAAGCATCAGTAATGCAACTGAAGCGGAATTAGCCCTGCGTGCTTGCACATTTTCACTTTTTCTGTCTGGTTTTGTCAATCAATCTCATTACCAGATAGGCTAATTAATGACTTCAAACATAATCTGAAACCATCCAACAATTTTAACAAGAGGCACTACCAAAATGGAACAAAAAAGCAGCGGATGATGTAACTTGATGTAACAAAATGAGAGACTGATATAGGTATCACCAATCAAAAGCAAATGCGAGGACCAGATGACCTACACTTTTACAGGCTTCACAGGCCTGGCAAAGCTTATCATTAAACCTAAGTGCTTCCTCCCACTCCAGGGGTGGCGCCAAGGGGGGGGGGGGAGGCAGGCAGGTAACAGCATCTTTTAACGTGCACACAGGCCATATTACACACAGGACCAATGGATTAAACGTCTCTTCCGAAAGACTTTGCATTTCAGCCTGCCCTCTGAAACATGTGGCGAGCAACGATTGATTTGAAATAGAGACCCAAAATCTGCAAAAAATTTCGAGTTTAGCCGATTGAGCTATTTTGTACTTGAGCATTTTTTTCTTTCTTGAAGCATGATAGAGTAAATCAAGAAAGGGGTTTGTCAAGACACAATACAACATGTACCAGATTGATATGTCGATTGCATCCAAAGAAGGGCAGTATTTAAGCAATATGATGTGAATCGTCTATACATCTGTCTCTTATACACATCTAGATGTGTATAAGAGACAGTGTATATTCAAGGTTGAGAAGGCTTGGAAGAACAGAATTTATACAGGGTACCAATGCAATTGTACAAAACATGAAAGCATCAGTAATGCAACTGAAGCGGAATTAGCCCTGCGTGCTTGCACATTTTCACTTTTTCTGTCTGGTTTTGTCAATCAATCTCATTACCAGATAGGCTAATTAATGACTTCAAACATAATCTGAAACCATCCAACAATTTTAACAAGAGGCACTACCAAAATGGAACAAAAAAGCAGCGGATGATGTAACTTGATGTAACAAAATGAGAGACTGATATTCAATACACAAGAGGACAAGCGTCTCAGGGGCGGATCCAGAGATGTCCAAAAGGGGGGCCGAAAGGGGGGGCCGAAATTTGGGCCGATCGAGACAACAATGACCCAGGGGGTCCGGGGGCATGCCCCCGCGAAATTTTTGTGTTCTAGACTCCCGAAAATAACATTTGAGGCGTTGTGGGCTATCATTTTTTTCTTTTTCTTTCTTTTTTTCTTTTTTTTTCTTTTTTTACCTCCCAAAAGGGGGGGCCGGGGCCGGCCCCCTAAACCCTAAATCCGCCCCTGCGTCTAGTAGTTTCTTTCCAATAGCGAGAATAGGTCCAAAGTGGAACAGCTTCTTTTGTTTGCATTTGGAATTCTTCAGTGTGAACATTGAGGATAACCCATGAAAGTCTGAAAAGGTATTTCAAAGACGGGATCTTCTGCTGGTAAAAGGGAACTACACCAAACAATGCAACAGCAAGAGCAATGCACACAGGCCATATAACACACAAGACCAATGGATTAAACGTCTCTTCCGAAAGACTTTGCATTTCAGCCTGCCCTCTGAAACATGTGGCGAGCAACGATTGATTTGAAATAGAGACCCAAAATCTGCAAAAAATTTCGAGTTTAGCCGATTGAGCTATTTTGTACTTGAGCATTTTTTTCTTTCTTGAAGCATGATAGAGTAAATCAAGAAAGGGGTTTGTCAAGACACAATACAACATGTACCAGATTGATATGTCGATTGCATCCAAAGAAGGGCAGTATTTAAGCAATATGATGTGAATCGTCTATACATACATACATAGGAGTTATGTTTTGCCCTACCTGACGTGTTATCGTACCGAATACTCGGAACGTACCCAATTTCTTGCGAAAAAAATGTTTGCGTGTGTTATTGAAATAGCATATTTGCAGTGCACGCTGCTTCTTGGGGATCGAATTCCAGACTAGTCACTAAGCACAAGCCCGTTAGTATAGTGGTTATGGCGCCAGGCTAGTAATCTGGAGGTCGTGGGTTCGATTCCCACCAAAACAATTTTTTTCCCAAAAGTATTTGGGGATGTACTGCATATTCGGTACAATAACACGTCAGGTAGGGCAAAACATCACTCCTATGATATTTTCCTGATGCAAACTCACATAAACATACACACAAAAATACACGCTGTTTATTTATATAGCGCCACTACATCAAGATTGTAGCACTGAAGGAAAAAAACGAACAGTCCAAGTAAGCATCTGTGCTGTATAGGTGCTGTACTTACTATTGGCAATCCCTATCCTATCAAACTAAAACAAACAAAGCTAAGAGCCAAATGCGTCTTTCCAAAATATGAAAAAAAAAACATAGCAGACACACTAGTCAGTGTAGCAACGATAAAATCAAACTGTGTTGTGGACCTTTCCTGTCATCCGACTCTATTTCTACCCCTCCTGTTTTAGTATATACACTTTTGGCGTCATTAGGACGTTGGCTTTACCCATAGAAGTTACCACTACTACTACTACCGCTGTAGTGTATTCCCCATCACTGTATAAATAAAACACTGCTTGCATTGCAAGAGATCTTATTATTACTGATCACAGATGAAAGACAAGAGAACCTTTAATATAATTCCCCAAAGGGCTCTTACTATCACTATTTATAACTGATCAAGGAGGAAACTTAAAAATTACAAGCTAAATCTAAGGACTAGGGAATATAATTGGCCATCCCAGGCAAAACAACAAACTGACATTTTTGTTATTTTGAGATAATATAATTTGGGAGTATATTAAACATGTCTGAATTACTTGTGAAAATTTTAGGTCTCAATAATAAGCCGTTTGGGAGATAGCACCACCTATCTTTAAGCACTAAACTTAAAATCTAGCGATTTTCCGTGGCAAAACAACGTATCTACGAGGAAGATATGTTTAATATCTTTTCATGAGCTGATAGGGTTTGGCAAGGCAAAATCAAATGGTTATTGGTGTTTTTATATCAATAAAACAGCAACGTACAAGCTAGGTAATGCATATGATTACCAAAAAAGTGATAAATTCCAAAAATATGTCTTACTTGCAATAATACCAAGCCTGACATCTTTCCGAGGCAAAACAACATATCTGTAATTATCGCTAATAACTTTGCAATAAAAAAAAACTGTAAAATTTTACATATAATCAAAATGTCAATAGATACACAATCCTGAAAAATTTCAAAAGGGTACGACAATTTATTGCAAAGTTGGGAACAACAGTGAAAATTTCAAGTTACGTTGTTTTGCCACGAAACGGCCGTAATACTCCATTATAAAAAAAAAATTATTGCCCAATGTTTCAAATTAGATTATATCGACAAACTTTGTCAGAATTTCAATTATATTTTGTTCATCACATTTGTACTTACCTTTAGAAACAGTTTGGAAGTACGACGTAGCTAAATTCCCATTGTTTCGACTGCTGCTTCGCATCTGCGCGTACAGACCATGATACGTTCTAAATGCTCAGACACTAGACATATGAAAACTGATGGCGACTCAGAATTATTTTAACCGAATTGCATTAATTATTCAAAATTATTGTCAAAATATGGGAAAACAAATGAAATGGTAGTATGCTGTCTCTTATACACATCTAGATGTGTATAAGAGACAGGTTTTACAGATTGTAGATCAGAAAATAAGCTAAAGAAAAAAAAATTGGTTTAAACAATAAAGTTTGAGCTTCAAAAATATACTGTACGTGTTAAGCTAAAAAAAGTATAAACTTAACTATTTGGATTGCTTACTTTGTATACTTAAGGCAAGATATTTAGCTTTCACTTAGAAATAAAAAAGGTATGAATCACACCAAGGATAACCCACTACTGTATGTCCAAAGACTAAGTTGCTTCCAGCGGGTTCCTTCCGGTGGTGATTGGGCAGTACACCTAGGGAGACAATCCTCTACTCTCTTCCGAAGAGTGCACATGGGCCATAAATGCACAAGGGCCATAATGCACATGAGACCAACGGCTTAAACGTGTGCTATCGTAACTTGCATTTCAGCCCTCCGCGTGAAACACAAGGAGAGCAGCGATATCTGCAGTTCAGTGCACACTCAGTGACTACCACCAGTTTAGCCGACTGAGCTAAGCTACTCTTACAAGCGATTAGATGTTCTTTTAGTCTATATTCACATGGATTCTATATTCTTAGCATATACCCTTAAAGCTTGGGCATAAATATTGGTCGAAGGGCCAAAGCAAATTTTTTATTTAACACTGAGGGCCATACCCAACTTTTCCAAAAAAACTTTTGAATTTTATACTGCTTTATGCTCAGTTTAATACGTGCATTACTTTCATGCAGATGATGGTGTCGAGTCGTAAAAAATACTTAGCCGTAGTGGGCAGCAATAAAATTATCATTGGGCTCCACTTTTCCCACCTGTGTCTTTAAAAAATTACCATCCAGGAGCAGATCCAGGATTTCAAAGAGGGGGGTTCAGAAAGTTCCAAAAATACCCAAAAAAGAAAGGGGGGGTCAATGGGTCCTCCCCCGGGCAAATTTTGATTCCTAGATGGCCGGAAATAAGCTTTCCCGACTTCTGAGTTGTCTTTTAATAACCCTTTAAGTTCTTCAAAATTCAAGGTTCCCTCTCTTGAAAAAGGTCAGGTAATTTTATCTCATTCTTAGGCCTATACATAGAGAAAAAAAAGAAGACATATGCAATGTATAAATATTCCAACAATATTGAGTAGTTGGATACGTAGTCTTTCCTTCATGGATCGATAGGCCTAAGGAATGCACTTTCGTACATACCGGTAATTATTATGACATTGAACCAAAAACAGTGTTTCTTAAATTTATTGATTTATTTTATTTTTTTTGCTAAGCATAGTTCGTCTGATCTGCCAACTGATGCATAGGTAGGTTAGCATGCCTTTTGCAAGCCAGGACCCATTAGTATTTTGTTACGTTTCTTCACAGAGGGGGGTTTGTCCGAACCCCTTTAACCCCCTGCCCCCTGGATCCGCCACTGCCATCTCCATCTCAAACGATGAACAGCTAATTTGAAAGGATCAGTTAAGTTGTGAATGTTACTTTTTTGCAGATGATGGTGTTGGGTTGTACACCATACATAGACTAACAGTGGCATTAAAATTTCCATTGGTCTGCACTTTTCCCACATGTGCCTCAAACATATTACCATCCCAAAAGATGAATAGCTAATTTGAAAGTATCAATTAAGTTGTTAATTTTAAATTCACTAATACAGAAATAAGTAATCAACGCATCAACTAATTGAATTTTGTTTTCTCATTCATTCAATTTTACTTGAAAGGTTAAACACTTAAATAAATGGTTCAAGCTGACTGTCACATTGTTCAATTCAGCTAGACAAAAACTGACTGATCCTCAATATACACCTAGTAATGCAGCTGACACTATTTGGTCCCCCTAAATTTTTCTAAAATTATGAATAAAAATAAATGGAGAAAAACAAACAATTATATTCAAATTCAATAATAATAAAATGCCATTTTTGGCCATGTAGAGGTGCTGTAATCATAAATTTTCTTGGTGTAGACCTTCCATCTGTGAAAATCCCTCCCTGGGCCCCCTTTCAAAGTTCTGGACCCGCCCACTGCTGTTTTCATTTACCAGTTCATGAGTAAGCTTCTACATGTGGGCATTCTCCTCACTCAACCAATGTTTTCAAATTGAAAATGTACCAAAAACGGCATGATCTATTTACTCAGATATACAAAACACAATTCTGCACTGAATTTCTTAGGCTTACATGGTTTAGATCGTTATAACTATGATATGCAATGATATTTAAATATATATTTAAATAACTTGTTAATAATGCTGTTTTGATCTGTACCATCTTGCTATTTGTTGTGCTGGACTGTAAATGCTGAAGCTGAATGTTTCTGTATGTTCTTATACTTAAATCATAAAGCAAAAGAACAGACTTAAATAAATAAAATAAATAAAAAGGCAAGCTAGAAACTTAAATATACAAAGCAAGTAATCCAAATATTCAATTTTGTTCAAGTTTTTATCTCAACACAGAAACTACTATAATAACAATAATAATAATAACAATAATAATAATAATAATAATATTATAATGATGATGACGATGGTGAAGATGATAATTAAAAATCAATAAATTAAATATGAGCAACACACCATTCAACTAGAGTGAATCTTAGTCTTGTTTTAGGCGATATATTTTGCTGTGTAAACAGCTATAGGCCTCAATTTAGGGATTTTTTTTTTAGCTAACTGAATTTTTATCTGTGTCTCATAAATTAATTATTGAGAGTTATCAAAATTATAAAGTGATTCGATGAGGCTAATCAAGACTGTGCAATGTACTAGAATATAAAAACATCTTATTGGGTTAAACATTCTTATTGATATCAATATTATAATAATAAGAGAACAAACCTGCAATTGGAACTTACATGGGCAGCTGTATCATTTCTGAAACAAGTATTGTCATGGGCTGAGACTACGATCTGTATAAGTTGAAACTGCGCTTTATCTTTTAGGTTGCGTTCTTCAACCAGCGCTGGAGTACTTAAGCTTTCGATTTCTTTCAAGTTCTTCTGTTTCTGTTTCTTGGAGTATCGTCCAACACGAACAGCTGCAGATAATAAATTACAAGCGATTTTGGATTGCAAGAATGTAAGCGAATAAAGCAACAGTTGTATCGTATTATCAGTCGGAGAGCCGCATTGGAGATTTGGACAGTTATTGCAACATTTTTAACACGGCGTGACGTCATTGATTCTAGACGCCCTCACACGGCAGAAAGGCTTTTAACTTTTGCGCGTTTTCATTAGCATAAAATGTATGCTATTTCATAGCTGTTGAATAAACATTGGAAAAGCAGAAGGTACCCAAATATGGTAAAATCAGTTCCTTATATAGCAAAGAATCCTTACGTCATTGAATTTTCTGATTATTTTTTGTACGAGTTGTGCGTTCCAACGTTTTTGCCCAGGTTGTGTGACAGCCGTCGAATCGATACAATTTTGACAGCTATTTGTTTACAAATTTCTGATTAGTAGCATTTGCATCCTATACAGCGATTTTCTACATACATACCATAAGTCGAAAAAGTGTTTTTCGGCTTATAAAAATCGGTCTTGTACCCTATTTCAGTTTTCCACGACAAACATAATTTAAAAAGATCATAATTCACATGTTCAGCTATGCACGGTGGTGCTTGATGCACTGCCGCAGGCTGTGTGGCTGTGGTGAGTGGTTAGTATAGTGGCCTGATACTAGGCCGTGAGTGCATCATTTGATGGAAACTACAGTATTGTATACTCACAGCCCTTGTCGGAGAAGGCAAACTAGGAAAACCAGGCTTATATATGCTTTGGTAATAAAAAATATGTTTAAAAGTGGCTGTATGGAAGAAATATTTCTGCATTAAAAAAGCAACAGGGAATTATTATTATTGTAATATTATGTATATAATAAGTTTAAAAAAAAAGGCCAGGTTATTTATTATGTAAATAGATAGAGTATAGTTACAAATATTAATTCAATATCATGATACAAATATTGGCCAGTTACTTTTGTCTAATTTGATTTTTTTTCTAATGATATTTCTATTTTTCAGGAGTCACAATTGGCTGGAAATACATTTCTACTTCTATACTCAGCCCACCATGGAGATGTGATTACACCGTAGTATATTATTGATGTGTTTTGTAGTTGAATGGTACATGTATACTGAAAGTGGTGCATAATTAAAATAGGCCTATCTATGGTCATGGTAACAATGTTACTATTTTAAAATGTAAATATTAATTTACTGCTACTATAATGAAGAAATGCAGTATTTATTTTTGAGCAAATAAAATATTATAATTTCTAAGTAAACAGATCACATATACTGTAATTATAACCAACACTATATAACTTGCCAGTAATGTGACAGTACACTTTTTTTTATAAGAGCAAGTAAAATTTTTCCCTGGCTCAGCCTACTTGGGTGGTTTTTTTTTTTTTTACCTAAGCCCACCCCTTTTTTGCTGGTAAATTAATAGTTAAGGAAAAATATATAGAAAGTCATTACATTGGAATCAAATTTATATAAAAAATATTTTTTTCTTGTACCAGTAAACATATTTGCAAGAACTCCTGAGCTTTTCAAGCGAAAAAAGTAGAAAAAATGATCGTTTGATAAATATGTTGATTTTTAAAAAAATCAGAATTTTCCCAAAAGTGATGAGGGAGTGGGTGCTAAACTAATATTTTTTTATGGGGTCTTACATATTTCATGACACCATACAACCTTCATCATGCCTAGGCCTACACCAGGCCCACGTACGCAGCACGCTAGACAATGCCTGGAAGGCTTGAACTGAGAAGTAGGCCTAGCCTAGACATCGACCTGCAACAGTCGCGGTGTCGCATCCTCCTCCTACCTAGCCTGTTTTCGAGTACCGACTCTTCAGTGGTGGGGTACATCATGGTTTGATTAGTAGCAGTTGCATACCAAATGCCGTATATAGTAGATGTTTACATTATTGGGTAGTTTAATATATTATTCAATGGTAGACTTTAAATTTGTGTTTGTACCTTGTGTAGAAAATGTGAAATTTAATGAGTTTTGGCCTTCCATTTTGTAAAAAAATCGTATGTTGAATTGAAGCCTAAAATATCGATATTTTTCGATACCAAAAAATATTGAACCGAAATTTTAGTTTTAATCATCATTTAAACTTGTAGTTTAGTTTTTTTAATAACATTTAGTGCCAAAATAACCACATTTTCAACACATAAAAAAATGATGCGTGACCAATGCAGCTCTCCAACTGTTATCAACCAACATAATCACATGACCTTTACCATCTTGATCTTCAATAGATCATAAGATCATTATGTCCATCAGCATAATTAAATAATCTATATACCCTGTATCATCCATATCAATAAATTGCTTACCTTTCTCTGGCCATCAACATAATCATATAACCTTTACCATTGGGATCATGTGTAAATACAATCATATGATTTATATCATCCTGATCATCAATTAAATGAGCTATAGGTCTACAATGTTCTTTATCTCCCTGATCACTAAAATAACATGATCTCTACTTGTCCTCATCAATAAAATCACAGGACTGTTATCATCCTAATCATTATAATCAAACAATCACTATCATCCTCTTCATTAATATAATTACAAGATTTATATCATCTCCTCATTAATATAATCACATAATCTACTGTATATCATCTTCCTCATTAATATAATCACATGATTTATATCATCCTCGCTCCTATGGTTCTGGTGGTGGAACAAGTCTTCTCGGATAAGGACTATAAACCGTAGGCATAGTGTACACAAATGCTCATGTGCACTTTAAAGAACCCAGTACATCCTTTGAGATGAGTAGGGGGTTACCCCGGTGTACTGGTTCACCCGGCCCCTGTCGTGGACTGTTTTATGTGAACTGGGCCTCTGGGAGAACAGTAATTTTTTGTTACTGAAGAGGAAACCCAGTATAAAGAACAAATAAATAAATAAATAAATAAATGATTTATATCATCCTCCTCATTAATATAATCACATGATTTATATCATCCTCCTCATTAATATAATTACATGATCTATATCACCCTCCTCATTAATATAATCACATGATTTATATCATACTCCTCATTAATATAATTACTGTACATAATCTATATTATCCCCGTCATTAATATAATCACATGAAGTATATCATCTCCTATACAATCACATAATCTATATGATCTTCAAATATAATCACATGATTTATATCATCTTCCTCATTAATATAATCACATGATCTATATCACCCTTATTAATATAATCACATGATTTATATCATCCTCCTCATAAATATAATCAGATGATCTATATCATCCTCTATAATCACATGATCTATATCATCCTCTATAATCACATGAGTTATATCATCTTCCTCACTAATAATCACATGATCTATATCATCTAATTTAAAACACAATCACATGAAATATGACAATCTTGTTTATGACAATATTAATTATAATCTTTATTATCCTGGTTTTTAGCAAATATCACATAATCATTACCCCAAACACTAGTCATGATATTCGCCAGCCTCAAGACTAAAGTATTCTATTAGTAGGCTGGTACTAATTACAAAGTAGGCCTACAGAATCATGTGTTTTATTGTTCACAAGTGATCAATATTTTGACTTACAATGTATTGACATCCCAACGGCTTGACATTTTTGGTATCGGCAATATGCACACCGCCCTCTTGTGGACCTCTCAATGACACAAACTCCGTCCTTTTGACATTGTGTAATTAGAGTTTTATTAGCAATACATCGTCTAAAAAACCCCTATTATAGTAGATGTGATTAAAAAAGAACAAATGATAAATTATTTTATATAAGTATGTAATATGTAAAAAAAAAATTTGTATGGTGGTTCTCATCGGAAATTAAGATAACTTATTACCAAATCAATGTTTATTAAATCTTTTTAGAGTTTCTACATTTTATCCAGGAAAATTTGGTAATCTATTCTATCATTAATAAAACGTCCACTTTTTTATCTTTGTAATTAATATAACTTTAATACTTTTTTTTTTTTAATCTGACTTATTTGTCTACTGTAGTTCGATAGATGAGACTTCTTATGCCTTAAGTAACCAAGGAAAAAAGTAATTAGAAAAATCATTGGTGAACCCACTTACTTTGCATCCTTCACAAGAGGTAATCCCATAGTGTATTCCCGAGGCATTATCGCCACAAACACGACACGAAGTTAATGATGGTTTTGAGTGCAAATACACTTTTGTACCAGAACTAACATTGTTTTCAGACATCTACAAATAAATTTAAAATGAGTACAATTAGCTGAGCAAACATTAAATCTATCATGTAAACATACTGTAAAACCTTGAATAGAAGCCCAACGGGCTTAATCTCGAGAAGAAATCTATCTCGAATTGAAGCCCCCTCTTTAGTTTGCAAAAGTAGCCAATCTTCTCCATAAATTTACAGCATTCATTTAAGTTAAAAAGAAGCCTCCTCTTTACTTTGCAAAAGTAGCCTCGAAAAGTAGCCCATATAAAAAAACCCTTGGCTTCAATTCCAGGTTTTAATACGGTATCACATTTCTTTTTGTTAGACTTACCGGTTCTAATTAAGTACTAATTACAGTAAGCAATTTTATGTTTTGTTATTCAGACACTTCATGGTGACACCAACATTTTCACATTCTTTCTCTAATTTTTATTTTTTAACTTGAGTCCCAATAACTTACTGTATTAATAATGCTATATAATTTCATGAAAGCGCCTACCAAACAAAAGCTGCATACTCGCTACACATGACGGTCGTTGGCTAACCCGATTCTATGAAGAACGCAATGCGACAACGCGTGTGCAACAGATCGTTTGTAATGACATTCCCTTCAGACTGCCACCACCAATCAGCAGACACCGTCGTATTGTCTTGCGCTCACACGGAATGGAGTTAGATTTGTTGTGCGACCTCTGGAGACATCGGGATTTTTGGAAGCATTTGAATTAAATATTCATAACTTTGCTAAATACTCAACCAATTTCCATAAAATAAACACCGTTTTTTTATGCAGGATTGTAAAATACCAAAAATTCAATTCAGCCAGAACCAGTTACAAATATGGAATACTTCATATGAAAAAGAACGTGCAGGATATTGAACCATGAAGTGATCATTTGATTAACATTTATCTGTTCTTAATAGATACAGACTGCTGAAAGACAATTTAAAAGCTGACAGATTTTACTGTCTCAGTTCCACAACATCGTAAATAACATTTTTGACATGGCTGGAAATTTCAAGAAGGCCCAACTAAATTAAATATTATAAACCAATCATAAATACTTATTATTTATTTCCATAAATTTATTAGATTAGATGCTGCTACCACTAGAGTGCCTGAGAGTCAGCTGGCTGGTATCTGCTGATGTTGTCAGACTCTGGACAAATAAACTGTTTATTTCAAAGGTCAGCCTAGGGTAGTTTTAAGTTCTATTATAGACTACATAAAATAAAAAACTTTTAATAATAATTGTAAATACTACACAAACTGGTATGGTACTCATGGGGGAAAAGAGCTACTGGGCTGAAGCCCTCAATTTTGAAGTTGGCCCTTAAGAAGATGAAGAAGAATACGATATCATCATCATGAAGAAGAACATAGGCAAAAACAATAGCCTCCCAGAACTTCGTTCCTTTGGAGAGGCTAATTAAATTATAGTAATATAACATGCTAATGAATTGTTGGATATTCCACTCTGAAGGGTTCACTCGTAATCGACTACTCAAATACAAGGGGACCCAAAAACTTGTTATGCCACTGACTACATATGATGACGACAATGTTAATGAGGCTACAAAACAAAAAATACTGTACTACACATTTCACTTTGAATACATGCTATGCTACAAATACTAACTACATAATGACAATAAAACTGTGTACAAATTTGCACTTTATTAAAATAAAAAGTACATCAAGTCCTTGACTAAATCCCTTGCGTTGCTCTATAATACCAAATTTAACCAGCACTTTTAAAACTTTTCTTGCCTCGATGGAATGCAAACTTCTGAAACCAAACAATATACTCTAACCACTTCAATCTTCAATCCTATATTTAACCCATGGTCACCATTCCTTTTAGTTCATAAATATTCTAATTACTTGGTACTGTATTTCTCCCCTTAAAGGAGGAACAATATCTTTTAGTCATCACGGTTTCTGACGCGCACAAACTTAACCCAGCATCCTGTAATCTCTTATCCATTAAATGTACATTATTAATGATTTAAGGTTATGTTGCATAATGTATCTGTTTTGTCTCTCTAATGTTGATACTGTACTTTTGATGCATTAATACACAAAGCACTTTATTGCTTGGCCCTGGATGATAATAGCGCAAATACTGTCATACATCATGGGAGAGAAATTGAGAACAATTTCTGAGTTCGTGTGTGAACCCTTTTCTGTTTGGAAATGTTGATACTCAACAAATTATAGGCAAGTTGGATGCTGTTTAAGACGATAGCGCCGAATCGTACAGCTACAATATCGGCAATGTTTTGAACAGCATGCTCACTCTTATAATTTTGTTCTATTTTTATACAGTAGTGCTCTGAAATCCTTTACCATCAACTGCGTTTGACACGCGATTAAAACGCGATGAAAATTCGAGGGCAATATTCAGTGAGGCCCTATATTTAATGATATTAATATGTCTTTTTCTCAAGCCTGGTCCAATAATAATTTGTAGTTCTAACAAAATCTGTAATGTAACAAGTTAAACTGTACAGTATTACTTATTTATATAATTTTGTTGGTTTGGCTTATAAATTAATACTCAATAACAAAACTATATGTTGAATATTTATAATATTATTATAATTATTGGGGTGTGATGATAACGATAATAACGATAATTATGATGATAATATAATAGTTTTTTTTTATTCCAATACTGCTTACCGATTTACAAAGTTGAAGACCGAATGTCAAAACCTGCCGTCAACAACTGTAATGATTTAATGGTCGCTTTGTGCAAACTTAACTCACATTATCCGTCCTTAGTGGACAACCTGCCAAGCTTCTGACCTACTAAACGGTTTTTGGAGTGCGCCAGAAACCTTGTAAAAATGAAAGGTATCCTCATTTTGGCGGTCAATTGAATCTTAAACAGCATACATTTTTAAATAAAATGCATAATGCAGGTACTAACAATATTTTAATACAGTAATACTTTGGTTAAAAAGGATGATGATAACTGACTACTTTGATGTTTAAAGTGTACGATAGGCTTACTACGATCAAACTATATATAATTTTGTTTTATCTTAATTTTAAGATTCACCAGATTTTGTAATAATTGGGAAAATAGATAAATTGTTGAAATAAAAAAGACCTAACAACAACAATATATGCAATAATTGATGATTATAATAATAATAATAATAATAATAATAATGATAATAATAATAATAATAATAATAAAATAATATAATAATAATGATAATAATAAGTTAATCAACAGCAATAATGATGATGATAATAAAAATAATAGGCCTAATAATAATAATAATAATAATAAGCTAATCAACAAAATAATGGTGATGATAATAATGAATAACAATTATAATAGCAATTAAAGGGTAATGATAATAATAACAATAATTAAATAAAACAGAACCAACAGTTGACATAATAAATAGAATATAGCATTGATGATAATAAAGTCAGTACAAGAACAGGGTTTTTTCCGCTATCTCCATCGACCGATTTACAACAGTCGTAGGCCGAATGTCAAGACCTGCCATTAACAACCGTAATGATTAATGGTCGCTTTTGTGAACAACCCACACATTATCAGACCTACCAAACGGTTTTCGGCGTGTGCCAAGAGACCTTGTAAAAATGAAAGGTGTTCTAATTTTGGCAATCACTTGACGCTACAGCATTTTTCTAAATAAATTATATAATATGCCTATTTTTTTTTTAGTCAATATTCTTCTATCTGGTTTTAAGAAATGACAATAAAATTGAATAACTTGATGTTATCACTTTTTATGATGCTAGTTTCTTTCAGCATATTTTCATAAAAAAACTGTACCTAATTTTATTCAAATAGTACACTTGTTTTATTTTGTATTTATATTTTTTATTACACTATTATTATAATATTTTCGTATTCTGTTAATGGACCTGTATTTTTATTTCTGAAGTGAAGGATATTTTCACTTTTATGCATTGGTATGTGTAATTTGTACGAATTAAGTGTTGTGTTTATGCATTATGCTCGAATCCCTTTTAGAAGTGGTGGCTCCGAAAAGAGCCGTTTGGTTTGAAAATTGGAATACAGCCTAATAGCCAGATGCTCGCCCTTCTCTTTCAATCACTACTGGTATCACCTTGTCTACAGTAAATGCCATATGTTAACGGAATCATAACTCAGGCGTTACTGGTTCCCTCCACCAAGCTAAAATGCCGTCTACCAGTTTTTGTTGGAGCCTGGGTTTCACATGTCTTCTAAGATGGTGTTTAAGTTAATGCCAAACATTCTCAATCCGTTTTAGATCCGGGGATTCGGGTGGTGTTTTCCACCAGTTGATGTTGTTTTCCATCATGTAGTTAGTTGCTAATTGACTGGTATGTTTCGGTTCGTTGTCCTGTTGAAATCTGTGCGAATCTGGAAATACACAGCGCACAAATGGGAGTAGTGTGCCTTTAAGAATTTCCTCTACGTAAAAGTTTGCATCCATGTTTCTGCCGAAAATGCAAAAACGCGTCACACCCCTTAGTTTAATAAAATAATACATTCGCGAAGATATAGTGATAACTGTCCTTTCATTTTGAAGTTCTCGATTGTACTGAACAAGATTTACAGTAATTTGGGGTGCAATGGTAGAATATTGTAACAACTGACTAACACTCTAAATAAATCGACTTAGTGATTGATATGTTTCCTTAATCATGAATGACTGCGAAATTACTTTCATGCCCATGGCGGCCATAACAAACGTGTAGTGCAAATACCACAGCAAACAAAATACTCCATTCACAAACGTTTTTTACCGCGCGCCGTAACAAACTCTTGATAAATATAAAATGTTAAAATATTCCATTTAACGGATTTGATTGCTTCTTACAGATGTTGTACGTACCGCTTGGTGCCTTATTTAATAACAAACAATGATAGCCATATCAAACAAATTTCACTTTAGAAATAATTACTATGATACCAGAACTAAACCAATATTAACACTAGTTACCAAAACCAAAAACTGACTATAAAAAAAAAGCTTATCATATAGAGGTGCAAAGATTTGGAATGAACTAAATGACGATCTAAAAAATTGCAAAAACATTTCCTTATTTAAAAAACATATTATGGCAATTTTGTAAAGAATTTGTATTTTTTTTTAATGAAACTATTATTGTATTTTCTCTGCTAGTGTAAACTCTCTATTTTATCAAATTCAGCCATTCACAAATTATCAAACAATACATTGTTTATTCCAGTAAGCAACAGCAGTCTTTCTGCACATACAAATAAACAACATGCTTTTGCTACGTAGGTTCGCTTTGCGTAGCCTTGCTTAGATTGTTTATATCAGGCTACGAAGCCTGCGCGCAGGTTAGATTGTTTATATCAGGCTACGATGTATCTACGAAGCCTGCGCGCAGGTAAAAGTGCAATATTTCACGACTGTACTGTAGTTTAAGTAGGCCGACAGTATATCATCATAACTACAGTATGTTGATACCTGACCTTTTATTTGAACTTTGTAACGCTTTAAAAACAGATCATGGTAGTTCGCACAGTTAATAAAAAGACGTTTTACATCATGCCCTAATGCCTGACTGGGTATCGAATCTCGTTTTCTTGCTAAAGGTTATCGTATTACCAATCAATGATAGCTCATTAACCGCGAGTTGCTCGAGTTTCAATCGCGGTTCGCTCGCGTGTAGATGGTAAAGGATTTCAGAGCACTACTGTATGTAGTACTAGTACATTACAACGGTAAATTTTTACTTTTAAATTGTACTTTATGTTAATATTTATTGTTTATTCACTTTTACAATTTTAATCATTTATTTTAGGCAATATTTTACATTATTACTATACCGTATGAGATGAGACTTAAAGTAGGATATTTCCACCCGAAAAAACTGGGGGTCGTCTTATACACAAAAAATATACAATTTTTTTTACTTTAAAATCATGTTCGTCTTACAGTATGTGTAGATTGTCTGCAACATGCAAATTCATTACTAAAATGAAGCTCATTAATGATGGGAAATACGATTTTGATAAACATTTAAAAGAAAGCTCATAAAATGATATTACTGTACTTGGAAAATTAGAGATTGCCTTATACGCTTTAGGCTTTTATACTGTTTTGTCATTGATTTGTCTATTAAGGTGGGCAATTTAATATCAGCCATGTTGAGAGGGCTACCCACCAATGATTTTTTTTATCACTAAGTTTTTTTAAAAATATCAAGTGAAGTCAAGGGAATAGCTACACAGCTTAAGAATTATTTGCTTGATCAAAATCAATATCTGTCCGCCTAAATCCCCTTCCTGGTTCCTTCTCTGACTTGTCAAGGATAATACAGTAAAGTTATGATCTTTAACTAGTCCAACATGTCTAGTACGTGAACAATGTGTTTTTTTTTTTCACCCACAAACATTCAAAACGACCTACAGCTGAAGGAATGCTCTTTCATTAAACTGCTAGCTGTACAAAAATTCCATTAATCCATCTCAAAAGAACACTTGCAAATGGCTATGATATCCAGATGGACAGAATCTACTATAATTACCATTCTATTTTATCATTATTTCTTGTTGGACTGATAGCCTTCCTCTTATCTTGTCATTCAACCAGAATGATGATGCGCATACTTCATTTTTATTTCTTTAATTAATTCTGAAGTATAGAATCATTCAAGGATAAAAAAAAAACACACAAAAGTACAAAAAACAAAGTACAAAATTATTTTCACTGTGATAGATTAAATTATGGTCTAGAGGCAGACCTTGGAATTCAAAACCAAGGGAGCCCAATGTGAACTTTTCAGGTGAAAGGTCTAGGCCATCTCAGCACCACCAATGTTGGGAATGATGTCCAAAATATTATGGTTATGGTACCTCTAACTGGCCGGAAACGGCACTCTCAGGCTTGAGTATTATTACAAACCATTATTATGATACAGTTTGCAGGTAGGTTTAGATTCATTAAACATACAGAAAATTTGCAGATAGGCCTATAGTCATTGGCTTACTGTATCTTCTTTATAGCATTATTTTATTCAGTTACAGTATCTATTAAATAGGCATTCCAACAAATAATCATAAATTTCCTTACCTCAGTCCCAACAATGGTGGTACTCAGGTGTAGACCCTCCCTCCAATGAAAATGTAAAAGTCCATCCCTGGGCTGGGCGCTGGGATCCCCTTCCTATTTCGAACTTCTGAATCCGCCACTGATTCCAAGTTATTTAATAACAAATCCATCGAAAGAGGATTGAAACCTAAGTCTGCCTATTCAAAACTTCAGTATAGACCTAGGGCCTAGTTTTAGTATCGAAAGCCAAGATAACCAAGTGGTACCATACAAACACTGGACAAGAAGAAGTTTGCTTCCCAGTGCTTCAACAACCAGCCTCAGTAGTGACTACAAATACTACTACTACTAGGCCTGAGGCCTTCTCTTTATAACTTAAAACTCGTAAAATCAAAATGACAGCTGGCTTTCAATCGGTTGTACAATAAAATGACTCAAACCTAATAACTCCTTAAAGACGTATAGAATTCTTAACTTACCTTTATCATTTAAAAAGATAACTAGGCCTATGCGTATTATTAATAATTATTAATAAACGGCTTCGGTCTGTCGCAGTTCAGTGACAGCAGTAATGAACTTCGGAGACATCCACGCTACCACATGGAACTCTTGCTTTGCATCATCATTACGTAATCAGCCTTCACACGACATGAGCAGGATTTACATTAGTTTAAAGGATAAATTAAACTACTTAACTAACATTAATAATACTTTATTAAACATCGTACATTTATTATGTTACTTTTATGTAAAAACTATGTTTGTAAGTTTAAGTTACTTATATTCTTTAAAATTACAATTGGAACGTTGTTTGTGTACATTCACCTAATATAATATAAATGGAATATTCTACGTTGAGGCGCTCATGAATATTGAGTACCTTGGTACTTGTGGAGCCTTATGCACGTGTTTTCTTTTCACATTAGCTATATACTGTAAAAGAAATGACAGCAGGACTTTTTAAGACTAACTTGTATATAATTTTAAATTCTCGAGCTTTCGTCCACACATTCAGTTACTGTACTTATTACCGTATTTCTTATGGTATTAACCCAGTTTGTGTCAAGGAGGCTTATACCCAAGATATCACTTTGGCACGGCACAAAAATAATCTACCTGTATGTAATTTTCAGAAATGGATGCAAAAGACAATTTTCAGCACTGCATGCCTAATTCACTTCAAATCTTCCTCCTAATCTTAAATTTTCTTCTGAAAGTATTTAAAGATGTATTGTCCCATGCTAAATACCAAAACAATCAAAAATATTTTTTTAAATTAACTTGCCCAATTTTGAAGTAACATAAAAGTTATCAACTTGAACATACAAATTAGTGTATTTAAAAAATGTCTACCCATCAGTTTACAGTGAAAAATGATAGAAACACTTCCAGTCAATGAAAGTGTTTTATTATTTTTATTATAATTTTTTGGTTTAAAAATCAGGGTACACATTTTTTAAATTCAATAATTTTTATGCACAAGTTAATAATTTGTATGCTATTTCAATATGAGCATGTTTATTTCAAATTTTTTTTTTTTAAATGATTTTTTGACATTAGCAAGGGACAATACATCTTTAAGTCAGCTGAGAACTTATAGAAATCATTCACTGAACATTACATGGACTATTACATAAAATTGGATGTCAAGTATGCATTTTCCCAAGAAACTATATAGGCTTTCATGTTAATTGTGATTTGCAATTAAAACTATTCACTTGTATAGAGAATCATACATACACCCATATATATTAAAGAAACTCCACTGCATGTTTCAACTCGACTGTGATTTTGATATGTTGAAATATCCTTTTTTATATAAGTGTCATGATTTGAACTTGTTTGAACAAATTTTTGATTTTAATAATTTTACTTTCAATAACTTTTCAACTAGAACTATTGACAACTATATTGCAGATTTTTCAAAACAAGAATGGATAAACAAAATACAACCAAAGACATCACTAGAAGGTTATTCAAAATTAAAAAATGACTTTTTTTTTTTTTTTTGAATGATAAATATTGTAAATATGTTTCTCGAATTTTTTATTGTACACTGTTTGAATTTGATGATTGTATGTGCTCTGGGGTCGTCTTGCTGGCGTAGAGAGCTTTATAAATGTCACTTATTATTATTAAAATCCAGTCCAAGCCTTGAAAAATATCTTCTTGATAAAACAAATTTTTTAGGGGCAAGTTTAAAATTTGAAGTAAGATCAAATACTCTACCCCTAGATGGCAGGACCCGTAAATGGTCAAAAGAGATATCCGGCCATTGTACCCTGTGCGAAAATGGTGAGATCGAAGATGTCAGACACTTTTTATTTATTTGCAAATCATTCGATGTTGTTTCTGCAATATGGGAAAAGTTTAAATATAAATATATATAAATATACATATATATATATAAATATATATACACACACACATATATATATATATACATATATATATATATCACTCATATAATGAAAAATATTATTATGCCTTTGTTTTTGATATTATTTTTATTGTAGTTTATTATTTAATGTTAATAGAATCAGTGTATCAACAATGGGACTATGATCACCTGTAACAGTTGTTCTCAATCAGGCCACGCACCTCCCCTACAAATACTGTTGTTTATTATCTATCTGCACTATTTCCTACTTCATTTATTTTTTTATTCCCTATCTTCTATGCAAGCATAAACCTCAACAACTCTTGCAATATATAATAAAATTGGTATTCAAAGAGTATGTTTAAATGTTTGACTAAGCCTAGGAGGAAAATTTTAATTAAGCAATCTGGCTGACAAACACCAAACAATACCAGAATCTTTGAGACGAATCTTTCTGCAGTCTGCTCACTTTCCAAGGCATTCATGTGTTTGTATTAAAATTAAATTTCAGAAGTTCCTCCAACGTGCCAAAAATATCTCGCATCATGCCCCACCCCACTGAAAATATTCGAAGCAAAAAAACATGCAAGTTAAAAATTACCTCATATTACCTTATCTGCGAGCTAGTTCTCACCGACCTAAATTGTTGAGCTTGCCACCACCTCCCCCCCCAACTTCACTTTTGCACCCCAACCATTCCCATACTATTTCAAAACACCTATATGCCACTGCCTGCGGTGGTCTCTAATACATTTCATATCTCTGGTTAGAGCTAACTTAATACCTGAATTACTTAGCTTATAGTAGCTTTAAGTGAACGTTAAATGTCTGCAAGCAATTCTATGTAGAGAGAACAAGCAGATTCAGGAATTCATTTTTGACATCTTCTATGAGAATTGACGAATGAGTCTAATTTTTAGTTTCAATAAATTTTGCGGCTCTTGGACGAAATTAAATACAGATTTCCCTCAAAGACCCACCCAAATGAAGATCAGCTCCAATTAAAGACCAATGTCTCTATTATTCTAATTAGAGACCAAAGCTGCTAAAGACCATGGAAATCCCAGACACAAAAGTGGTCTTTAATTGGAGGGAAACCTGTAATGTATATCGTATGGTATTAGTATAACTTAGTATAAAACATACTCCAAATAAAGTAAGACTAGTCATTTTGATTCAATATTTCGATCTTTTATTAGATCATCATCAGGAATGAATAAAGATTCCAACATTACAAACATATATTCTAGAAGTGTTACAAAAAATTAACCAATGAGAAACAGTCAATAATGTAGCCAATAATATTCAGAATTAAGTGTTGGTGATTAAGTATAAAGTATCAATAAGAAAGTATAATACATACTCCAAGTAATGAAATACACGCCATCGTGTTGGGATTCAATATTTCAACATTAATTATGTCATCATCAGGAATCCACAAAGTATCAATAAACAAGCTTAATAATGTGATGAAATAAACAACTGAAACTGAGAACTAGGTAAACAATGATAGTTCTTTGGATGCTTTCAGTCCATTGTTAAGTAATGGGTTGTATGGTATTAGAGTGAGAAAATATTCCACTCGCCAATTAATAGACTTGTAAATTAATACAGTGCGGATTAAAATTGGTTGTTGTGGGTGGGGGGAAAGGATGGGGTTTCAAAATTATACAAAAATGGAGGGAAAGAAAAGGAAATTATAATTTCTTGGATGGACCCTCTATATGTCAAAGAAATCCCCCTGAGGCCACCTCTATTTCAAATTCTGGGTCCACCACTGTAATAATAGACTTGTAATACATACTCTTTGCATAAACCTATAAATTAGTAAATATAAAGATTTTTGTAGTCTATAAATTATCGAAAACATGACTGTTACGATCTACTTCTCATTCCATTTGAAGTTATTTCATCCTTTTTAATGAGCAATCCATGTGTTAATTGAATGTTGAGGGTTCCCTGGTTTTGGAGCATTATATTGCTCATTTAAATGGATCAAATAAGATTCTTTGCTCGACACAGGCAGTGTATATATTCAATGGATGATTGTTAGATCTGGGCCTCAGGTATAAGCCATTTTGGAATCTATTGTTGAAAGAATGCATACTGAATTAATACAATAATTCTGCTTCATAAAAATACTATGTTCCTTAGGGATGCCAGAAGTGATGGTGGTCACAAAAACAGCGTTGTAAATCACAGAATATTTATCTTCTATCATGGAAATCATAATCCTGGTATTTATGCATTTGATGTATAATACCGGGTATCAACAAATTCAAACCAAACAGCATAAGAATCCTCCTAAAGATCGCTGACCAGTAGTAGCAGTATCTTCCATTCCGGCCATTGATGTAAGACCATCTAACGAGATTTGTTGAAAATTCAAATCAGATTACAGCATGCATCTGCATTTGTGCATGCATAGTTGGAAAGCAGAGGCGTAATAGGCGTGGGGGTAGAATTCCCCCTCTCTCCAGCTGGGTAAGAAGAGGAAAGAAAGAGAGAGGGTGAGGGAGGGAAAGAGAAAAAGGACAGGAAAGGAAAAAGGAAAAGAAATAGAAGAAAAAATAAAGACAAGAATCAAAAGGAAGATTTGAACACATAATATTCCCAAAGAGAAAATCGTTTTACCATAAAAGATGGGCCTCATTGGTCCATTCTAAAATGCAAAAAAAAAAAAAACTACAGTAATAATTCTTTGCATGTGTATTGATGGTGAAAGAATATGTTTGTAATAAATAAAACCATACTGAAAATGCTTATATTTAGTTTCAAACACATGTGTCTGTAGGCCTAATATTATATATTCTGTTAAGATATATCATATTTCTATATTGGTGGTGGGGGGGGGGAGGGAAGCTGGCTCGAGGGGGAGGGTATCACACCGGGTCATAAATTACTAGCCAGGAAAACTATTACCTTTGTCCCTCCCTGACCCAAGACCCCTGTTACGCGTTTGACTAGTTCTCGATGCGCCACCAATAACAGGGATCAATAATACATGTCCTCATCATACATTTACTTAAGCAGCAAACAGGATCTACTGTACTAAAGGATACTTTAAAAATCAATCATGGCACAATACAGAGATAAACACTAAAATGTCTTGCAGTAATGCTATAATTATACCACAATATATATTCTTCAAACTCAAGTGGGCCACCAAAATATTTTGGTGGGTAACAAAATTGACATAAATCATTAAAAATCAGCTAGATCTTGTATATATTATTACCATTAATAAACAAAAACGTGTTATTTTGAAATAATATTCAGTGTTAAACTTGACTGTATAATGAAAGATTTTCTTGATAATTGAAATTTAGGAAATTGAATTGAAAGGAAATGTGTTCCATAATGTAAGCACGATATAGATCTAGCTCTTCTCGACTTATGCGTCTGCTTAAGTGGTCACTGGGTTGCTACTCAAATTTCCTAAGTTGGTCGTCTGTCTAATATGTTTGCGGAATGATGGTGTAAATCAACAACATATTTAATCCATTTTAATAGGCAAATATATTTCATAAAACTGAATATTAGAGGGTTTTCAAGATGTAATCATCAACAGTTTTTGTTCAAATGACGCTGACGTTATGTTCACGGTACAGTTTTCTCCTTGTTCGTTGCTCGAGGCAAAAATCTAGATCTCTCGGTGACGGAATTCCTTTAATTGGCCATGTGACGTTAGTAGGCTGGAAGAATGTTCGTGTGTTGGCATTCTGGTGTCCATAAATAACAGACTCTGATGTTCTGTGAAGTGGAAGACAATAGGCTCATTAACATGTTTTTAAAGTTCCCTTGAAACTAGAACGCTAATAGTTAACAAAAACACTTCAAAATAAATTGTCATGCAATTGTTAATTAACAAACTGGAAAAGAATTATGTAAATTTGGTTGATGACATAATTGCATAAAGATGCAACATTACTTACTGTTAAAATGATACAAGTACAATACATACTCTACGTAACAAGTTATTGTTTACACATTGTTTATACAAAATATATCTAATTAATTGGTTTTTTCCCCATTTTTTTCATTATTAAATGATTCTTTGGTCTGCATTTGTGAACAAAGGATATTAACAGAAATAATATTTTGTTAATCTATTGGCGATAGATGCAAGGAAGAAACAAAAATTTGTGTAGCAGCAGTTCAGTATCCTCAATCCTGGATGTAGATTTTAGAACACATGTTGATGACTTATGAAATCACTAAACTGGACACAATGCGACCACAATTTTCTTGTAATGGCATTCAAATGTTAAAAGGCTTTGTTAAATTAAATTTTATGATCCTATTTATAATTATCACAATATAAATATAAGAAGCAAATCTAAAAACAACTAAAAATAATTTTATTTAAAGATATGACTGGTTTGGTTGGTCTTGGCCACATATTTTATTGTGAATAGGGCATGTTGTACTACATGTGGGTGTGGAACATTGGGGTTTAATAAGTGTGGTATGGGAACGTGGAATTTTATGAAGATGGTCGTGTATAGTCTTACATGCCCATCTTCAATTTCTTGTAGAATTAAGGACACAGTCACAGGTTGGGGAGAGTAAGCCATGATTGTTAAGTAATGTCACAATTTAAGTAGGCATAGATTTTACGAAAGAACATTTAGCATGACCATGTTTAATTTTCTCTATGGTATGACAGATGAATACATGGATATTGGATGTCAGGTGAACACTTTCAAAATCCGAAATTACAGTAAGCTTAATTTACTTCAAAAGAAAATACTGTACAAAACATCATACCAGTTTGAATACCAACTAATGTTAAACATGCGCATCAGAGGAAATGAGAGTTTAAGCAGGTAATGTACAGTGCATTTGGGGACACTTTTATACGACAACAACGTGACATAGTATCATGAATGAGGTGTGTCGAAGTAAATGCTCACTTCAGAGCTGCACAAATTCTAGTACCAGGAGACCCGCGTTCCAAATCTGTTATATGACTGCTCCGCAAATTCTCGCTTGAGGGCGTACCGGGAACATTGCGTAAAGAGAAAATCATGTGATCTCTAGTTCAGGATCGCGGATCGTGTCTATTAATTTACAAAGTCGGCAACTGAAATACCGAATTATATTAAAAAGCTTTTCATCAACACAGACAGTTTCACATCCTCGCCCTTATCAAATTTTGGAAGCTCATGAACAAATTTACTATTTCCTATTTTTTTAAAAAAAGACAATAATTTTTCAATTGAAAATAAAAACGACTATTATGAGAGCAGCTTACGGGTTGTTCAACATTATCAACATTTTCACAAGTGTACAAACAGTATGCTGGGGGGAGGGGGGGGGAGGTGAGAGCAGCTTACGGG